CCAAAAGGCTTCAAATTATTAGGTTGATGCCATAAGTTCTACTATGATATACACTTGAAAATTGGTTACTTACGTTTATCTATTTACAATATGACACAATTTGCAAGTTAAGAATACACACTTATTCCAAAGTGTTTAATTCTTAGAAATAGATGGGAAGTTATAATAAGGCTCCACAAGTCAATAAAGTTGTACCGTGTGAACAATTTTCTAAAAAATTTGAAAAAAGATGAAGACTTAAAAGATTTTTATATTGCATCCTAAATTAAATTAAAAATTAATAGTGTTGTTTAAAATCAAACGTTGAATTGAATGAAGATACACAAAAAAAAATAGGTGTTTGAGCTGGAGCTCTCACATAATTGATGCTTTGTTCAATAATTTTTTTATTGAATATTCTTCAATTTTAAATATTTTATGTAAAAATTTGGGCACAATGTTTTTTTTTTTAAATTATTGGAATATATCTTTTCTCACCAACACTTCACTTATAGGAGAAGAAATATCGATGATCACTTGATTCAAGAATAAAAGATGAACTAGTACTTTGAATTTCATCAAATAGGACAAGAGTTTATACAAATATGTGTTTAATTGTTACATCATTACTTGAATCCCGATCCTAGTCGAGATTGTCTACAATGTTTCTAAAAATATGTAAGATCGGATTAATACTCTGATACCAAACTAAAGTTGTAAAGATGATATTAAAATTTGTAAATAAGAAAAAGAATGAGAGGCAAAAAGAAGAGAGAAAGAGAATAATCAATGCATCGGAAATATTGTCTTACACTCTTATTTATAATAAACTGACATTATGAGCAATTATACTATTACGCTGCACTACTAATAATCTAAAATAAGAACTGTAACAAAATTCTTTCGTTATAATTAGAGTAATGTGTCTGTTACTTAATTTCAAATCCCAATTTGTCGAGAATCTGGTTACAAATTGTCGAGTCTCTCTTTCTTTCTCTCTCTCTGCAATCTTGTGTAACATATGCAACTGTCAACACAGTTGCTTGCAACAATTTAAACCGAGGGTAATGCACCGGATGCCGAATTTCGATTTTTTATTCAACTCGGGAAGGATGTCATCCATATAATCATATAGAGCAAAACCCCTACAATTTTTTGTTCAGAAGAGTCGGTTACAATAAGCTCAAATGAAAGAAGAACAATCAAACATTAAAAATAACAGTAACAAATATTTATGCATTCTTCTTAATGCCATCTAGAAAATGTGAGGAAATCATTGTAATGAAAGAAAGAAGAGAAAGTCATTTTCCTTCACATCAATGATCTCATTACTATATATAATATAATGTTATGAATTTAATTAAAAAGAATAAAATAACTTACTGTATACTTTTTGATGATGATATAGAGTTAAAAAAAAGCAGTTGTTGAAGCTACCTGCTACTATGTGCATTGAAGACCATGATCCTCTATATGTTGATGAGTGGACTGCACACACACATACACACAGAGTCAGAGGTTTTAGTAAACAATGAGCATCCAACAAGAACAACAACAATGATTTTATAACTTCTGTTAAATAGGATGCATCCGGATCTATAACATAAGGTGATAATTGTTGGCTCGTGTTGTGCCATTTGGGTTCACGTTGAGTATACATGTCAGATGTCTTGACTCTAACACTACCTATTTATTAGCTGTATTGTGTTCAAGTTTGACAAACGTAACATAATTCATGAGTCATGAATTCATCTCATTTAATCATATCCCCTGTTTATAATTTTCCCCTAGGATAAAAATCCAGGGGATCCATATGCTAGCCAACTCAAGAAAAATAAATTGTAGTGTAAAGATCCCTACAAAGAAAAGACCATGCTCTAGTAAGCGATTTCATCCAAAATGAGTATTGGAACCTTCCTCCTAACCGCGCGCACAATAGTTGGACAATGTCTAATGCAAGAAATTGTCCCATATGAACTCCCACAGCTCCCTGTTGAAGATAGGACCGGTTGGTCTCTCAACCCGGATGGAAATGGAAACTCCAAAATAGCCTGGAACCTCATTAGGCAGACCCATCCTAAGGTCAACTATGCAGACATCATTTGGAACAAATTCAATATCTCCAAGCACAGAACATACCAAAAACTAAAAAAAAAAAAAAAAGAAGACTTTTTTTAATACTAATTAAGCAGTTAGTCATGTTAAAATCGCATTATTTGTGTTGACACTAATCTTACTTGTTTATTATACATGTTAGCAAGTCGTGCCCTTTTCCAGTTCTAATCGAGAACAAGTTACAATATTGTCTAACCTGAATCACAATTTGTTGTGGAATTCCAGCTCCCACACATGCACAAGTCACTAACTCCATGAACATCATACCCACAAGACCCAGCAGTAGCTTCACAAGCCTTACAGAAAGCTTCATTCCCTTGCACAGAGTACCTCACTCGTATCCCATACAACCATTCTGCGGGACCTGCCACCCGAAGCGGCGCTAGACTGTACGCACTGCTATATCCCTGGCAATCGAGCTTCGTGAGGTTCACAGCTTTCATGGCCTCGAATGAGACCGCACAACAAACAGGTGGTAGGCTTGATCCGTACACTGATCCCTCCCTCTTCGGCCCAATTATATTCCAGGCTGGGCACCCATAGTACTCCTCACAACCCATGCCCGAAACGTTTCGACATGGTAGGTGCTTTCCTGGGAAGCCTTGGAACAGTGGCGATTCAGCAGAACAACCTATGAGCATGAACACATTGTCCGCGGTCGGGTTCAGGTATGGAACACGATAGTGGTCAACCACGAACCCGTTACCGCGGCCTCCCAGGACAAGTGAGTCACAGGTTGAGAGGTGAGGGTCGTGTAATGTGAGGGATTGGTAAGCATAGTCTATGTCTAGTACCCGATATGAACCGGAACTGATATGGAACATAAGAACATCATTGATGCAAAACAGGAGGTCCCGAAAGCCGGGATGGCCACAGCCTGGTTGGAGAGCAAAAGGGTAATCGAGGGTAATGGTTCCACAGAAGGATCTACAGGAATTGGCATGGCCATAGCTATGAACTGGTATTAGAACAAGTGGTTGGAATAAAAGGAAAAGAGTGGTGAAGAAGAGGTGATCCATGGCTGATTAGAGAGATACTCATATATTTGTCAATTGCAGATCTATAAATTAGCTGAAAAGAGAGAAAAAAGTGTTGTTGAAGAGTTAAAGGAAGATAGAGCAGCGCGGTGATGATACTTTGCTTGGGATGTTGAGTAAATATTTAATATCTTTGACCAAATTGTGTAAGGAATTAACCATAATATACGTAAAACTGTGGCCATTAAATTAAAAAAATGTAATAGGAATGCATGATTTTAGGGGACTTTATTTAACATGTGGGGTTGAAGAATCTGGTTCAATTTGTTTATGAATTTTCTTGCTCTTTTTGGGATGCCATAAGAAGATTTGCCAAACTTTTGGACTTGTAATTTTGCTTTTGTTTGCTTTTTGCCACTGCAACCTGATAAAATATGATGCTGGTGGGTGACTTTTAGAAAAAAACAATATATGATACTGGCGCGTGGGTTGCCTTTTTTTTTTTACACCCAATTTTTTTAATATTTGAAATATTATATTTAGACTTTATAATATTTAAAATATTATATACAAAGCTCCTGAAGTTTGTACACACCTAATACTTTCTACCGTCAATGTCTATTAAAATATATGTTAGTGTTTAATATTTAAACTTCTCGAGTTTAAAATGTTGTACTTAAACAAAAAATATTTTAATTAAAGATAAAATATCAAATATTTTAAATTTTATAACCAAAACTTATGTTTTATTATATCATTTATTGATATAAAATTAAAAATAAAAATCTAATTTTTTTAAAAAAATCAGAATTAGTATACAATTATAATATTTATTAAAATAAAACTAAAAAGATAAATAAGGGGTCAAACTGTAATAGACACAACAACATCTTCTATTTTTAATTGGGATAGTTTGGTCGTTTAATAGATAATATAATTGTATACTAATTATAATTTTTCTTAAAAAAAAATTGTATTTTTTATGGGTTTTTTCATTCAAGATATTTTTAAGGGACATTAATTCGTTTTCGTGTTCTAAAATCCCTCGAGTCAATGAGATTCAAAAAATTCAGGATTGCTTACAGCCATTGAGTCAATTGAAATTTGATTGATGGAATTGCAATTTTAAGCACCGAACATGAATTAGATATATATTTTAAGACTATAAATTATAATTTTTTAGAAGTCACAAATTGAAATAAACTTTAATCCCACAAGTAAATATTGGATGTAATAGCAACACCACATATCTGTATTGTCATGTAATGTAACCGTTCAATGATAAACAAATAAATATACAAAATAAATTCCACTATTTCAAATAAATAGCCTTCCATATATGATAGTAACCGTCACATATTTAAAAAATGGAGTTTACTTGTTTTATTGATTTGTTTATTATTGAACATTTACAAGACTTGGCAATGTTGATATATGGTATAACTAGGCCTAATAATTGGCCCTAATTTTATGAGCTCGAGCCGAACTTGTCAAGTTTATTTTTTTAAACGAATATAAAAAATTATTTAAGCTTAACTCGTTTAGAAATTAACCGAGTCAACGAGCCCAAAATGAATCGAACTCGAACCAAGTTTGAAATAGTTCGACTATTCTACATATAAACGAACTAAGATTTAGAATTTCGAACCAAGTCTTTTAAACTTATTTTTCGAAACAAACTTAAAAAAATTATTTAAGCTCAACGTAATGAGTTCAATTTGTTTGACTCGATTGCCAGCCTTAGATGTAACCGCTACACCTAGAGGTAGCAAATGTGTGAGTTGGGTTGGTTATGGACGGACGGTTAAATTGAATTGAGTTAAAATAAATCTAATTTATTTTTCACTTACGTATTAAATGAGTTATTTTGGGTTGGGTTAAACCATTAATTTATTTTTATTTTTATTTTTTTGGGGAAGAGGACTTGATCTCTTGACCTTAAGAAGACAAAATCTTTACAAGACAAGGAATATCATTCAATCAAAGACCCATTGGTTATTAATTTATAAAATAATTAAAATTCTTTATGGATACACACTAGAACACCAAAACACACACACATTATCACACTAAAATACAAATATATATGTTGGGCAAAAATTTGAATATTTTGTCGAACATGACTTCACTCATATAACAAAGAATTATACGAGTTTTATTAAATGTAGGTTAGTCTCATTCAAGATAGTATATAAACCGTTAATTTTAATCTCTTATTTCCAAAGAACACCCTTTAATTCTAACAAAAAATTATCACACGTTACCATTTAAATCACAAGGACATTTTATTTGTAATGGTGGCTGGACCTAGGTTAATTGTCTAGACTGCTCTATATACTCATTATCGGGATCAAGCTGATTTGTAATTTGGGGAGATTAAATTATTATTTATTTTTTTGGGTAATATANGATGCCATAAGAAGATTTGCCAAACTTTTGGACTTGTAATTTTGCTTTTGTTTGCTTTTTGCCACTGCAACCTGATAAAATATGATGCTGGTGGGTGACTTTTAGAAAAAAACAATATATGATACTGGCGCGTGGGTTGCCTTTTTTTTTTTACACCCAATTTTTTTAATATTTGAAATATTATATTTAGACTTTATAATATTTAAAATATTATATACAAAGCTCCTGAAGTTTGTACACACCTAATACTTTCTACCGTCAATGTCTATTAAAATATATGTTAGTGTTTAATATTTAAACTTCTCGAGTTTAAAATGTTGTACTTAAACAAAAAATATTTTAATTAAAGATAAAATATCAAATATTTTAAATTTTATAACCAAAACTTATGTTTTATTATATCATTTATTGATATAAAATTAAAAATAAAAATCTAATTTTTTTAAAAAAATCAGAATTAGTATACAATTATAATATTTATTAAAATAAAACTAAAAAGATAAATAAGGGGTCAAACTGTAATAGACACAACAACATCTTCTATTTTTAATTGGGATAGTTTGGTCGTTTAATAGATAATATAATTGTATACTAATTATAATTTTTCTTAAAAAAAAATTGTATTTTTTATGGGTTTTTTCATTCAAGATATTTTTAAGGGACATTAATTCGTTTTCGTGTTCTAAAATCCCTCGAGTCAATGAGATTCAAAAAATTCAGGATTGCTTACAGCCATTGAGTCAATTGAAATTTGATTGATGGAATTGCAATTTTAAGCACCGAACATGAATTAGATATATATTTTAAGACTATAAATTATAATTTTTTAGAAGTCACAAATTGAAATAAACTTTAATCCCACAAGTAAATATTGGATGTAATAGCAACACCACATATCTGTATTGTCATGTAATGTAACCGTTCAATGATAAACAAATAAATATACAAAATAAATTCCACTATTTCAAATAAATAGCCTTCCATATATGATAGTAACCGTCACATATTTAAAAAATGGAGTTTACTTGTTTTATTGATTTGTTTATTATTGAACATTTACAAGACTTGGCAATGTTGATATATGGTATAACTAGGCCTAATAATTGGCCCTAATTTTATGAGCTCGAGCCGAACTTGTCAAGTTTATTTTTTTAAACGAATATAAAAAATTATTTAAGCTTAACTCGTTTAGAAATTAACCGAGTCAACGAGCCCAAAATGAATCGAACTCGAACCAAGTTTGAAATAGTTCGACTATTCTACATATAAACGAACTAAGATTTAGAATTTCGAACCAAGTCTTTTAAACTTATTTTTCGAAACAAACTTAAAAAAATTATTTAAGCTCAACGTAATGAGTTCAATTTGTTTGACTCGATTGCCAGCCTTAGATGTAACCGCTACACCTAGAGGTAGCAAATGTGTGAGTTGGGTTGGTTATGGACGGACGGTTAAATTGAATTGAGTTAAAATAAATCTAATTTATTTTTCACTTACGTATTAAATGAGTTATTTTGGGTTGGGTTAAACCATTAATTTATTTTTATTTTTATTTTTTTGGGGAAGAGGACTTGATCTCTTGACCTTAAGAAGACAAAATCTTTACAAGACAAGGAATATCATTCAATCAAAGACCCATTGGTTATTAATTTATAAAATAATTAAAATTCTTTATGGATACACACTAGAACACCAAAACACACACACATTATCACACTAAAATACAAATATATATGTTGGGCAAAAATTTGAATATTTTGTCGAACATGACTTCACTCATATAACAAAGAATTATACGAGTTTTATTAAATGTAGGTTAGTCTCATTCAAGATAGTATATAAACCGTTAATTTTAATCTCTTATTTCCAAAGAACACCCTTTAATTCTAACAAAAAATTATCACACGTTACCATTTAAATCACAAGGACATTTTATTTGTAATGGTGGCTGGACCTAGGTTAATTGTCTAGACTGCTCTATATACTCATTATCGGGATCAAGCTGATTTGTAATTTGGGGAGATTAAATTATTATTTATTTTTTTGGGTAATATAAACAGGAAGATGACTTATTGATCTTGAATTGACAAAATGTCCATTATGTTTGAAATAGGTAAATGACCATTTGAATTGATATGAGTTTAAGGATCACTTGATTGTGTCGGAATTGTGATTGTGTCTAGTTTAACTAGACTGTTTACGTATCCGAAAGGAAATCAAGTCAGTCGTAGTTCATGAAAAGAATTTTATTTAAGAATGCAACTGTACCTAGGTGTAGATACTAAACTGCCCACATATCCAAAAATGGAATCAAGTTGGGCGTAATTCGAATTTTAGGAATTTAATTGAAAGTGATTTGGAATTACGACGGTGCCCAGGGTAGTTATTAGACTGCCTAGGTATCCAAAAATGGAATTCAGTCGGACATAGTTCAAAACAAAATTTGGATTTTATTTAAAGTTGATTTGGATTTACAATTGCGCCTAGTTTAACTAGACTGCCTACGTATCTGAAAGAGAATCAAGTCAGCCGTAGTTCATAAGGTAGAAATTAGAATTTAAGAATGTGATTGTGCCCAGTGTAGCTGCTAAACTGCCTACGTATCCCAAAATGAAATCAAGTCAGACATAATTCTAAAATAAATTTATTTAGGAATGCGACTGTGCCCAGAATAGATGTTGGATTGCCTACGTATCCAAAAACTGAAATCAAGTCGGACATAGTTCGAAAAGAAATTTTTCAGTTTGAGTGGATTTTGAAT